TAATCTGAAACAGCGGTTGTTCACGTTGTATCATCTATCTACTGTAGATAGTAATTACTAACGCAGCGAGCAAACCTACAGTGGGAAGGATGTGACTTAGTCCTATTCGTCAGGATTCTTTTTAATTACAAGGTAGAGACAAGGTAGAAGATGATCAAGCTTGAAAAAGGAGCCTACTCAAAGACTGCCAGCAATTAGGGAAGAAGGATAGCTCTGGGGAAGAAGCAATAGCCGCCCGCGAGCTTTTGGGGTTTACACCAAGTACTAGTATTCCCATAGGAATAGATAATTTCCCTGTTTTCCTTCTCACACAGCCTCTATTCCTTAGGCCACAGCAAGTAAATTTATGGATGACAGACTCCAAATCTTAAAAAAAAAGCGAAAAAAAACAAGGCGGGCCAAAAAAAACAAGGTTCCTACATTTCTCCAATTTTGACATCATAAACCTTGATATGATATTGTGCTAAGTGTACTGCCAACTATTACAACATCCATTTTTCACTGAAACAACTTTGAAAAATAAAAAAAAATGTTCAATCATTGTGCAAAGGTCTTGATTCAGTGGGAGCATCACATATACACGGCCACTATCACATATGAAACACATGCATCAAAGTAAAAGACAAAACAACAAATCAAAGCATTGCCTTGTATCCTCTTTTCATACTTATCTGCCATCCACGTTCCGGCATGACAACAGGTATCTTTGCCCATTTTCGGCATAAGGACAACAAAATTTCTTGTTTTTTTTTCTTCTAAAATCAGGCGAAAATCACTGCGCGACCTGATGTCATCCACAAAAATTAGTCGTTGTGGCCTTATCAAGAATTGATGACTGCCTCTCAAGGAACGTGAGAAGTGACGTGCCATTCCAATACTGGGTTGAACAAACAGGGAACAATGGCATATTACCGCTGATGATAAATGATGTTGTCATCATCACACACCATTACTACATTAATATCGCGCGAACGCTATTCGATGAACACTCGCTCATGCATTATAAGTACGTATAGGAAATGTCATCTGCCACTTAACCGACTTGTTTTTTTACTAAAGCACGTAAAAGAAAATACAAGACCGTGATGACGACGCACTCAAGTTAATTACACTTATATCAGCGCCGCCATCAAACATGTAATTAACAAAGATATAATACTACATAATACACAAGAAATGTACACAGACAAACAATACAAAGCAGGCATATTGGGAACAAACTAAGTGCGCTAAATTTGATCTATCAAAAGTGTAATTGTGTGTTGGAATAAAGTTCAAAGTTTTACTATGATGATAGTTTTACTACCAACACAGATGAACTTTCACGATAAATGTTACCCTGGACGCCATAAAGGTCATGAGAGGTTGTGTACTAGGATGAACTGACATGTTGGTTCAACAACACATCCGCTAAAGGTGTTGTTGTGAGGGCGTTTCTAAATTTACTCCAATTCCATCTTTGGAAGGACCTCAGCATGACAACCCCCCCCCCCTACTGTCCTGAATAAAATATGACAGAGACGGGGGCTATTCACATGGTTAAGGGACTATATTAAAAGATTAATAAAAAGCTGAAACAAGTGATAAAATTCCCGGAGGGAGAATGGAAGAAAAAGTACGAATTATGAACGCGCAGTAACTTCAAACACTTGCGAGTAGAAAGCTATGAAACTAGACGCTTTGATGAATTGAGTTGACATTTTGCCCTGTATTGGATGAGGTGAAATCCTCTTAAATGCACCGGGCTTTTAAAGTCAGTTGTCTCTCACCAAGTATGTCCATATATGCCATGGGGTCTCCATTACATCCTGATAGTTGATGACTTGTCTCACGTATAAAGACACAGATCCTGACCTTTGTTGAGGCCGTGATTGATAGCTATGGTTCCGTACCGGGACCTTCATTGTACCGCTATTCCCGACATTTGTGGCAAGTGGTGTGACATACTTATCGATTTGAGCTTTTGACTTACCCACATTCTGACCGGTGTCTGCACTGTTGAGCTATACGCGTTAGGAAAGCTATCACTGCTAGCATACATGTAGGGACCGGATAGGCTAGCTTTGACGTATTGGCTGATACCGCAAGACATAGGACAAAACTAGACAATTACAAAAGAATAAAAATCGACCTGATATATTTGTATAGCCCAAACCACAGTCCTGTCAGGTTCTTATTTCCAAAAATAAGGTCATTGGGTATGAAAAGTGATGCCGCTTTAATCAAGAATCATTTTCATCATAGCTCGACCTATTGGTCGGGGTTATACCGCCCCTTACTTGATTAATCAAGAAACTAAGAAACATGATGCCATTAGAATGGTGTAAAGTAAATAAGACGAAGAAAGAACATATACAGCAGTACAAAGTTAAGAATACGCATGGATGAGAGAACACCACAATACAAGACTATACAGCAAAGCGGAAGACAGCCTCAAGCAGGCGAGTGGAACCCTGTGCGGTGTAACGGCAGAAGCTAAGTGCCGTCAAGCTTCCGAACTGCGCGCTAATGACCCATCCCTTTTGTGGACCAGAGAGATTACCCACTGGCCTCAGAGAGAAGCCAAACTGCCTGTCGGATTACCCACAGCGGCACTAGGTAAAGCAAAGTGCTTAGGGGATGCCGGCAGTTGACACTGTTGGAATCCTAAATCCGCCGACTGACGAGGGTTGGGAATAACAGGTTATGACCGGATCGCACCAGTCCTTATCGGTACAGGCGGGGTTTGACTCCACTTAGCAAGCGGAAGGGAAGTTTATGCCTCCCTCCTCACCCCAAACGACTTTGACGAACTCTCTGAACTTGTTGTGGGACATGAAACACAACTAGCCGAGACGTATAGCACCAGGAGTACCTGTAACAGTCTCCCAATACTCCCATGCATTAGCAAATTGTCTACCTTTCCGAACAGAGCGGTTCCCATTCGGTTTATTTCCTGAAAGCAATAAAAATGTACAGCAAATAAACTTAAAAAAAGAAATTCTTACAGTAAATATCAATACGAATCTAATGACATCCAGCATCGATTCCAGCTCCTAAAGCATACAAAATAGTCATATGTGAACCTCTTATCTTATTCTATTCCTCCCATGGCGATCTCGTCCAAGTCTATTGGTCCACGTGCACCCAGCGGAAACTACATCAAAGGCAAGATAAATTGAGTTTACTCTCCGAGACGCGGCCTTCAGAGCGGAAATTGCTTCTAACGACAGCTTTTAGAGAGTACACGAGGTTTATGATTTAAAACGGCTGAGTTAAAAGGTTTGAGAACGAAATAAGCTTGGTGGATCACGGACTATATATACCTCTCAACAAGTTCTGTTCTCCTGTATATATAGTTAAGTGGCATGCAATAAAGTCAAATTCATTCCTTTCTCACTAGTATACTGCAACTGCCTACTAAGAAGGGGGTATGGCATAAGTTTGGCCTCTGGAATGGAGACTTATTGCTGTGAATACCAACTCGCACCTTCAATGCCTTTCCGACACCACTAGCGGCTCCACTGAGACAAGCCGGTTGAAATAACGCCGTAGCGACGCCGAAATCTTGACGTTTTCCCCTGAAATCTTCTCTTGTCTTGAACTGTTGCACGAAAACGTGTCCAGAATGTGGTGACCCCGTCCTTTGTGTTGCATGAGCAACTTTTCTGTGCCATAGAAGAAAGGCGGGGACTTACAACAAGGCATTTGAGAGCCATTCAGCACCAAGGACGGCTATCTATGTGATCATGACTCACCCTTGGCCGGATGGTGTAGTTAGCCCTTTGAACGCATGTCTTAGCCACATGTGAGCTGAATGTTCGCATCCTCAATTCAAGTGTTGCATGAGCAACCTTTCAGTGCAAAAAAAAAAGGCGGGGACTTACAATAACACATTGGAGAGTCAATCAGCACCAAGGACGGCTACCTATGTAACCCATTCATGGCCGTATGGGGTAGTCAGCCGTTTGAACGCATGTCTTAGCCACATGTGAGCTGAATTTTCGCATCCTCATTGACTTTACATCAAACAGCATATTGGGAGCCGATTTCAGTGTTCTTTGAAACTCAGTCATTTTATCACACACACAATGGATGTGTAGGGTAAAGAGCTAAAATTCCTTTGGTGACACAATAAAGTGCGTCTTGAATTAACTGTTACACGAAAACGTGTCCAGAATGTGGTGCCCCGTCTTTTGTGTTGCATGAGCAACTTCTCTGTGCCATAGAAGAAAGGCAGGGACTTACAAGTCATTGGAGAGTCAATCAGCACCAAGGACGGTTACCTATGTGACCCGTTCATGGCCGTGTGGGGTAGTCAGCCGTTAATTTGAACGCATATCTTAGCCACATGTGAGCTGAATTTTCGCATCCTCATTGACGTAACGTCAAACAGCATATTGGGAGGCGATTTCAGTGTTCTTTGGAATTCAGTCATTTTATCACACAAACAATGGATGTATAGGCTAAAGGGATAAATGCCTTTGGTGACATGTCTTAGCCACATGTGAGCTGAATTTTCGCATCCTCATTGACGTAACATCAAACAACATATTGGGAGGCGATTTCAGTGTTCTTTGAAATTCAGTCATTTTATCACACACACAATGGATGTGTAGGCTAAAGAGCTAAAATGCCTTTGGTGACACAATAACGTGCACCGACAACAAAAATGCGACCCAAAGCAGGCAAAAGGTCACAATTCAAACGGCAACATGTGGAAGTGAGATGATAGACAAGGGCCAACAGTGGGCCAATAAGACTGGCGCCAGACGGCCGTGAGTCTACTTTGATCCGTGCTGTCAATTTCCTCCAGCCTACAGAAGTATGGGAATGGTGCCATGAAGTCTTTCCGTACCGACCTTTCGAAAACTTCTCATGTCAAGTGAATCCAGAGTAATTTTTCCATGGTAAAGAAACATGACTAAGTGCAGCAAGACAATAACATCTATCAAGAAAAATGATACCCTTAATTTCTTCTGTCTGACAAACTTGTAAAGCAAGGTAATCACTATTGTCTTAAAGGTCTCATCCATGAATGACTGCATAGACTGTGATTCTACTTTTCATAATGATTTTTATTGTACGTTTCTGCTTAATAATCTAATACATTCTACTATTTTCTAAAGGTGGTACTCACATGTGTATTCATACACGATGCCATAGTTTTTTTTAGAGAGAAGCTTAATTTGTAATCAGCTGGCTGTATCAGCAATAAAGACACGACACAGAATGATAATGGAAATCCCTTTTCAAACTTCCCACTTATCAAACTTAGCCCCCACCAGGCTTTTCTATGGGAATACGGATCGCAAAAGGAGAGGTTGTTTCTTTCCACTCAAGAAACAGAGGTTGTTTCTTTCCACTCAAACCGCAAGGCAGCCAAACTCCCCTGGCAAATATTCTCCTATATATAGCCAGAGTAGTTAGTCTGGTAGAGACTATATCAAACTAGCTGTTTTGTCAGTTCAGGTTTATGTTCAAATCCCTATCCACTTAAGATCTGCAGTTCTGCATTGTATGTAATCACTTTCTTCAGAATATTTGACATACAAATAATTCCATCCTCCAGCTTAGCAGAGAGTTACCTTAGTACAAACTCTAAAAATAACATTACTACTTACAGTAATACAAATACAACACTCCTGTGCAGTGAACTGTCTTGATTGCTTCGTACATCATTTTCTGCTAGAACTCAACCATTTTGTCTCATTTAGTCATCTTGTAAATATCAACAATTACTGTGGCCATAATTATACTTGACAGTTATGTCTTAAACATAACATTTCTGACAGAAACAGTGATTCAATATGATCACATTAGATCCATAACATAATATGAATTGTATGTACAGCTATTGACATGTAGTGATAAGGCTAGGGCTAGTATACATAATGATGAGGGAGGAGGTTCAATCAGAAACTATACAGATACATTGTAACTTACAAAAAAATAGAATGTCATAGGACTTCATACAGTCTATGGCAAAAAATGTTAAACCCAACAAACTGGCGAATATCAACTTAACTGGAGCCTATATTATTTTTGTTGCAATTTAAGCAATTTCAAAAGGTGTGTCCATGTGAAGTTTTGTCCCTCAAGCAGGTCAAAATGGTTGAAATCTTTTCTGCCCTATGCGGCAAAATTTAGTCTGTTGACAGGAAGACTGACACTGAATTGAACTGAAAGTTTCAAAGTTTCAAAGAAATAAAGTTTCAAAGTTTCAAAGGTTTTCCTGAGAAAAGTAAAAAAAAGGAAGTCAACAAATGATAAACATGCATTGAAAAAAATGCAGTTTGTTTTGGAATGCCGAGTGTCATTCCAACTGTTGACATAGCCAGGCATATGTGTTACAAATGTATACAAATGTATTTGTTTAACATTTGAATAAAAATGATCCTAGTAGATGACTCATTGTCTAAACGGTCTCAATATTATGCTACACAGGATACTAGTACAAAGATTTAACCTGTTGCAATAAACCCCTCCCCATTCATATTGTGAGATATATAGGTATACATAATGGAACAGTCCATATATACTGCATTTGCCAGCGGATGCAGCTCCCATGATACCCTGTGCTTGGCACCACCAGTGGATGCCACAAAACAAGAAATACTACAAATCCATCTGAATGAACCATGACTTTGACGAGTGTTGTCCTGAGGCATGGGACTTCCACAGCTGTAGACATCCTCCCTGCTAACTCTGTGTGTCCTTCTCTATCACCAGTTTGTCTGTACTGTACAGCTGTCCTATCACAACCTGCAGTCACACAGAACGTTCACATGTATCAGTCACTTATTCAGACAAGCTACATGGATGCCTTAACAAATAACTGCTACATGAGTGAGTGAGTATAAGTCAATGCACTTAGTCTTTATTGCCTACTTATGAATATGACCAGTCATTATCAATAACATCAAAATTGTCATATACATGTAAGCAAATTAAGCAATAGCAAAACTGTCTTAAGTCTTTGTGATGATTCGAATTTTGTTGACAACATGACTCAAGTTATGATACAGTAAGTGCAGATGGTGAAAAACATTGTATGTGACTACTTGGTCTATACACGATCATGTAAAAATGACACTTATTTTTGGCCCTGTTCTACAGGCTATAAACCTGATATAGTTCAACAGAGCCCTGGCATACTACCTAAATCATGGACTAACAGTAATATATCATAGATGGATTATAGTATTCTATACAACAGTCACACACATTTCTCCTATCTAAATGTACATGCTGTCAGCTATGGTTGAACGTGGTGGAATGGACTTGTCTTGGCTGTTAGTCACACTGGCATAATCACCAGACTGATGTATGTGTGTCTAATGCACATGTAATCATTCACGTGTACTCTCAACAGTAGGATCTGCATGGCATAATTATGATCAGGCATTTTTTTGTTATCTCCAATGCATACAAATGAAAGCAGGGCTCAAAATTCATTTTTGGGAATAGGTGCATAAAAAATGGGTGCACAAAAATTTGTTTAGGTGCATCGTGCAATAAAATAAGTACAATGTCAGCAAAAACTAATTATGTTTCATTTCTTAAGAAAAGTACTACAACAACAATTTCATTATTTGTCTGACGCTTAGAATATATATAAATAAGTTAGATGTTAAAAATATGCTGTATACTACTATACATTTAACATCTTTTAAGATAAAACATACGTAAACCTACGGAAATATTTGGATGCACTGGTGCACCCACAGATTGGGTGCACAGCTCCAAATTTGGGTATACTAAGGTGCACATGGACCCTGTATTTTGAGCCCTGGAAGGCCTTTATGTGATTAAGCATTCTCTGCACCATTTATTTGTGCAGTAGCATCTGTTCATCCCTATGACTCAGAGTTCTGTTAGATATATTCCATAATTATACATTGACATCTTAGTTAGAAGTTGGGAGGGCTGCATAAAAATCCCCTTTCATGTCTCGCATTGACTTTCCCACCTCATCCTTGAATCCACCTTGCTTAAGAAGCCGATCTATTTCCCTGTACACTGATGCATAGCCACTGTCATCGTCTCTACCCAGGGCTTGTAATGGTTCTCTTTCAAGCACCTCCAGGCAATGGAAGCAAATGAAGATATAAATCTCACCCACTGCCAGAGGTTGTTCTGTCAAAATAGCTTAGAGTGGACATGCAGTCGGGAGGATTTCCGTTCATGAAAGGTTGTGTGATAGATGATACTTCACTACATTGGGAGATGGTAATCACACTGAGAATGGGGAGGGGGGCAAATAGACCTTAACTTGAACATCCCATTCCCTGGCCACTTTCAATATTGTTTCATGAGGCTGCAAAGTCAAAGGCCAGGCAATAGAAGGTGAATAATGGATAGGCAATCACTTGTTCCTGCTGTAACATGGGGATGGAGTTTCTACTGACAAATCCTACTTAATATGTTCTGCCTGATATGTTGTTCGTCCGTCGTAGTCGACGATGACCAATGAACATCACATCAAGTCTTGGCAGTTGTGTGGCAGCACCTTTTAAAGGGAGGTTAAAAGGTCAGATTCTTAATGACCACTGCATTGGCGTGATTCTTAACCATATCACTAGTACTAAGCTACATCTGAATTATAGTTTGTGCTCTACGACATACATGCAGACTGTAATATAGAGATATTATACAATGATACATGAGTTCACTCAAACCTAATACACTTTGTATTCAGAATGTGCATAAATAATACATCATGTAGCATACTATATTGCTGGACCGAGTAGAAGGTTAGGCTTATAAGGTGTAAGGTCAATGCCTAGAACATAGTGGTGTTAAAATGCATCTTAATTTTCTTCCTGACTTGTTCAATAATTAATATAGAATCTGTATAAACCTATAGCAGGGAGAAGTATGACTATGAACAGTTTTTTTTTGCTACACAGCAGTGTGATGTACAATATATCAAGCTATATGTAGCAAATATCAAAGTATGCGTATGAATGTCAAGTGAGGTGCTTATCAACACGAGACAAGCCAGCTGACAGGTCCTGGAGTGCCTGTTCCATTGCCCAGACCAGGGCAATCATCATCAGCGATCAGAACAATATTCACTGCCAAGTGCAGCGATCCATCAGTCTGAGAGAGGTTGTTATGTATTCTGTGCAGACAGGGGAGGTCTGGCCATGGTATTTTCCATCCTTTGTGCTACCACTGTGGAGGCATTAGATCGTAAAGCCCTCCGACCTTCTGAAAGGCCACAAGCTCCTGGAGTCAGACTCAACGGATTTTATACCACAATGGCTGAACGGAACAGAGTAATGGCTAAACCTGTCATGTATTCACTCCAGGCACTAGGTGTAAGCCCTTTGTGAATGAGAGGGTGGGGAAAATTCTTCTGGCTCAAAATCACTGCTACTTTGAAAG